TAAACATTACTCTATGAAGTAATTTAAGCAAATATAATTAAGAATTTCAGCTCGAATGATTAAAGGAAAGTATGTCTCCTCTTTTCTCAGTATGCTAAGAGTATTGAACAGAACTGTGACTGAAAATTGAGCGTGCCTTAAAAACAAACCCCAAGGCTAAGTGAAAGTCAGTTTATAGACATTTGGGAATTTGATTTGTTCACATCTTCCCATCAGTTTAAAAAGATCTATGCTAATATTTCTGTAAAGTAAAATAATAATAGAAAAAAAACCCCCAAAACTAATTTCAGAGTGCATAGGAGAGAAAATTCAAAATGTTTAGCAAAGTGCTGGCTACCCTAATAAATTCCTTGTTTTACCTTTAAGATGTAGTCAGACAGTCATTTGCATACAGATGTGCGCCCAAATTATTAAAAAAAAGTTAAACAGGAATTGTCTTAGAATGCCAACCCGTTCAAATTTTATTGCTTACAGTGTTGTTGGGTTTTTTTTTCTGTGGCAGGTCTCATTAATCAGTTCATTAATCATACATGTACCTTAAATAACATTAATATCTTGTGTTTTATAATCTTAACCCCCAAATATTGTGCTAATCACTAGATATGGCGTGATGAGGCTTTGAAGAGTGCTCTATACTCTCATATATACAAGTTCTGTATTTATGGAATGGAGTAGTGATGAGTTCACATGGGCATGAACTCAAAGTGAAGTTAAGCAAAGCTGATGTTTCAGTGATGTGAGACTTTTTCTCTGATTTTAGAAGAAGATACTTAACCAATGAGGTTGTGAACAGACTGTCTTACTGATACCACAAGTGACCAGAATAGCAATGCACACAGAATAAGAACTGTGCACATGAGGGGTCATATAGTAGTTGTATCATAACTGAAAACTGTTGAAAGGCTCATTTCACAAAATTGGTGCTATCTGGCTTTCTCTTACATTTGTCACATTTTCAGCACAGAAACTGTTGGCTGCAGGTGCAGTGTATGCATTGTGGAATTGCACAGAAATTCCTGGGACACAGGAGGAACTTGCTGTCTACCCACTTAAATTGTTTTCTCTCTTGCTGTGTATTTAGCACAAAGGCAAGAAATAAAAAAGGAATTAAAATGTATTTTAAAAAAATTAGTTTAGAGGTGTTTTGCATGTACGAAAAAAATTGTTTATTTTCAGTGTTAAAATGTTAAAATGGCTTAATTTCTAAATGGAATGCTGTAATCAATGTTTAAATTCCTGTTCCATAGTTCCTAATGCATGTCTCTGTGGGACCTGTGGTATTGGAATATAATTCTCATCCATTAGAAAAAATGCATTTCCCATGATTACAGCACTCTGAAGGCAGGATGAAAAACTGCACAGTTTTTTTATGAGATTAATATTGGAAAGTTTAAATCCTTGCTTGGACACCAAGAAAGGTTTTTTGGTGGCATTATCAGTTTTCTACAAAGCATCTCTTCAAGTGAGGAGGTGTTTTGTTCCTACAGTTCTTGGCTTCTTTGTACCAAAACTGCTGTCTTGTTTAATGACATTGCTATGTGGGCTGAAATTAGGCTGACAGATTGTGAGCAAAGGCTGTGGTATTACAAACAATAGTCTATTGAGCACGAGGAACTTGTTGAATTAGTTACCGGAGGCATTAGTGCTCAGTCCAGCCTCTTTAGCATCTGGAAGACAGAGAAGAAATAGTGGGCTAATGAAATGTCCAAATGACACCAAACTGCAGAGGGCTGCAGGTGACAATGGCAGCTGATGTGTGCCTGGTAAGAGGCAAAAACTAATAATAAATCAATAAACTCACAGAAGGAAAAAAACCCCCAGTGCGTTAGGAGGGAAGGGAGTATTCAAATCAAGAGAGAAAACCATGTTTGGGTTCCTGAGGAGTCAAGCACACAGATGATTACATTTTAAGGGCTCTGCTGGGTTTGAGATGGGTTTTCCAGAGCAGACTGGATGGCAGTGGCTTCAGCACACCAGCTCTTCACCATCCATGATTCCCCTGACATCAGTACAATTCTCCAGTGCTAGCTTAGGGATCCTGAGGACCCTGTAAAGCAGTTCTGGGTCATCTGTTCCCTATCCAGTTCAGGTTGGCTTGATGTTGTAAAAGAAACTGAAATGTGCAAAAGGTCAAAATCAAGGTCTCATTTTGCTCTGTTTTAATTATTCACTTAATAATCTTTTAGTTTCTTATGCCTTGCAGTACAAGTTTTTAATGGTCTTTGAACTTTAAGTAGGAATTTAATTGCTTCTGTGTCCTTCTTTGGGAGTAATTCCATCAAAATTTGCACCTCTGCTCTGTGCTGCAGATAACTTAATCCATGTCTGGAATTGCTGGGAGGCATGTATATTAGTTTATTAGTTGACAAGATGGACCAAGCCCACCATCTGTGTTCATGCAGCCTGCTGCCTTAACCCTAGAGACTCTGCCAGGATCACATGCACAGCTCAGGCTGAAGTGAATTCACACAGCTAACTTTGTCCAGAGAGATCTAAATCTGTGACCTGGGACACAACTGGAATCTAAACTTTCAGGATGAATACCTTGGACTACCTAAATCTTGAAATATCCAAGGAATATTATTATCCCAGCTATGTCATTTATGCATGACATTTAATGAAAAATAAAACAAGGAGCATTGGTGGGATGGCTTTGGCCAGCCAGTGCTCTCTCACCACCACTCCTCAGCAGGACGGGGTGAAAATGAGGTGAAAAAGCTCCTGGGTGGTGGTGTGGAGAGGGAGGGCACTCACCAATGGCCTACACAGGCAGAACACTCTGCTCTGAGGAGACTCATTTATTGCCAGTTAAAATAGCTTTGCATAGTAAAAATCAAAGAGAAACTAAACCATCGCCTTCTCCCTGCCCTTCCCTGTTTCCCAGGATCATCTTCCCCACACAAGGAGCTGTGCAAGAGGCAAGGGTTGATCCTTCCTTGCTCTCCTGCTCCACCCTGGGCCTTTTCTCTTCCCAGGGCTGCAGTCCTGTCAGGAGCACCTGCTCCAGCCTGGGTTTTTTGTGAGCCATTGCTCTTCCAGGAGACACCAACCTGCTCCAGCCTGGATCCTCTGTGGGTCCTTATTCTTCCAACTTACTCCATCCTGTGTCCTCTGTGGGTCACTGCTCCTCCAGGAGACACCAACCTGCTCCGGCCTGGGTTCTTTGTGGGCCACTGCTCCTCCAGGAGATGCCAGCCTGCTCCAGCCTCTCCACACAGGACACAGGGCTCTTTGTCCTGGCTCCCAGAGCATCCCCTTCCCTCCTCCTCCTCAGTTCCCCTCAGGCTCCCTCGCCCCTCTGCCTGTGTAGGATTTTGCCCTTCACTGGACACATTTTCACCACCTGGGCTGAGGGGCTGGGCTGGCCATGGGTGAGGCTTTCTGGAGCCATTTGGGAATGTCAGGAATGAGCTGGAAGGGAAAGGGTCAGCACAGCCTCCCCAAGAGCCAGGCCTGCAGCCCACTCCAGCACCTGGGCACGGGCACCCACCACGGCTGGTGACATTATTTGTGTTTGGCAGAGGCCTTCTGGCTTTGCAATAGAGCTGTATTTCCAAATATTTCCAATGCCAAGTGTCTCCTTGAGGCAAGCCCTCGGGAACAGATTGAGAGCGTGGAGCAGGTCTCTGCAGAGGGAAGCAGTGGAGAGAATTTTCTTCTGAAAAGAAGGATGTGGGTAGGAAAGTAGAGGATAACATTAAAAATAGAGAAGATTAAGCATGTTCCATTAGTAAAGCCAAAAACAATTTAGGATAAGGTAGAAATCCTGGAACTGTATTGATAAACAGAATTAAAAATGTCTTTTTTCCTCTTCTTTTCCAGCCCAGAGCAGCAGATCAGCTGAATTTTGCTGCTCATGCTGGTATTGAGCAATGTGTTGCCAGAGAACAGTCCTATTGACTGCAGTGGGACTTGCTGAAGAGGGAATAATTTAGCTCAAACAACCTTATAAATACACATTAGAACCTAACAGTATATTTCCAACCCAAGAAGATATATCTAACCCCAGAAATAGATCTGAAACCATAAACCCAGGTTTTCAGTGCTACTTATAAAAAAGAAATATAATTTAGCCTGTGAGCTAAAACATGGCCCTGTCTTACAAGATGAGATGGGTTTTGGATTGGATCAGGAAAAGTAAAGTCTTATTTTTGTAGTGTATAAATGAAATGGACAGTCTAAACCCTGTCTCTAAAAATCTTGGCACACTTCAAAGGAAAAATGCCATTTTAGCAATTTAAAAGCACTTACTGAGTTTTTCCAGTGCTGAACTTCATTTCTATAGCCAGTGTGGTTGCCTGCTGAATAATGCCATAGGGGACAATGTAGCTCTGACTATAGTTAAAAATACTATTCCATGAAATTCACTGGGAACAAGCTGAAGCAAAATCTCATTTGTGTCTTTGGAAGGAGGTGATAGTGGCTGTAAGTGGTGAAGGAAAGGGATTGAGATGGTTTTTTGAATCACAGAAGAGATGAAGGCTGGACCATCTGTGGGGAGAGAGGGATGCTTAGAGCAACAGCCAGAGGGGCCAGGCAGAAATCTGGGGACTCTTTAATGTTACATGAACATGAGCAACAGTTGGAAAGAAAGAAATCCTATCAGGTGGGGACTAAGAGATGTGCTGAGACATCATTAGGAAAGTGAAAAAAGAATAAAGGAAACAATTAAAAGGATGTTAGAGCACATAATTGGAGTATTCAGATAAGAGGAGACAAAAGGTCAATTTGATTGAATAATAAAAATCTCTGTTGTTTTATTTTTAATGTATTCATATGCATGCAGCTTACTGCTAAATATTTTATCTTGACTGCAATGAAGCCTTTAAAAATAATTCTGAACTACCTTTAAAAAATAATTGTGAACTCTTGTAAGGCCTATTTTACTTGTATATTGCAACAAATGGAGGCAGAAGTTTTAAAAGCTTTTCTCAGTGTTGTTCCTGAAGAGTTGATCAGCCATTCATTAAAACTCATCCTGTTTCATCTGTTCTTGGTAGGGAACCTTGGCAGGGTGGACCACGTCTCAGAGTTTGAGTATGACCTCTTCATCAGGCCAGACACCTGCAACCCTCGCTTCCGAGTCTGGTTCAACTTCACTGTGGAAAACGTGAAGGAATCACAGGTAAGTGATAATAAATTAGAAATTAAAAAATTGCTTACTCCAGAACATGTTTACTTTAATAAAGAAGATGGCACCCCGTGTTTGCAACTAAAAATTTCTTTAAAATGTATCTTTGTTCTTTGATTTTTTTATAAATAAAAGCAGGTATCAGCAGGAGTGGGTATGACCATGCTTTTCGGCTATCCAAGACAGGAGGTAATTGCAAAGGCGGTATAATTTTTGCCAACTAACAAAACTGGTATTAATAGTGGCTGCCAATATTTGTGCTTTTGCATTCTAACCAAATATGTGTGTTAATATAGGAAAAAGAAGTCCATCATAGCTGTTCAAATATTATCACTCAAGCCTTCATTTAATACCTGTAGAACAATGGGGTAGCTGTGCAAACAGGCATTTCCCCAGTGACTTGTAGCAGAGGAGTTGCTTGCCAACATGTCCCTTGTGAAAGAGGAGGTTTAAATGTGAAGCAAATTGATAGGCAACTGTTTCACTTACTTTTAAAGAATGTTTTTTGCAGTAAAGATGCCCCTTGAGAAAGAAACATCCTTGCTCTATTTTATCACTAATAAAAGTTATATACTAACTTTCACATTGAAAAATAATAATAAAAAAATTTCATTTCACTTTTCACATGCGCCTTGAATTTTGTTCTGGTGGCCTGCCTTAGTTTATCAGAATCAGTCTGTCATTTTTACTTAATGGAAATAAAGCATATTCAGTAAGAGAAAATGCAGAGGCTTGATAGTTGTATTCCTACGAGACTAATATCTTAATATCCAGCACTGTATCATTCCTGTTACAACTGGAAATCATGAAATTGTTTATCTATCGTCCTGGAGCCTGATACTTTATCAGACAGACCCTTTCCCCTGCTGTGCCTTACTCAACTATGATCAAATTATATAGTCATGAGATGAATGGGAATCTGTCTCAAGGAGGCAAAGAGATCGGGTAGAAAGATACAATATATATCTCGTGCTTACAGGATATTTGTTTTCATGGCTGTCTACATGAAAGAGAATGGTTCCACTATTAAGTTTGACTTGTGAGGTCTGTTTTTATAATGTGTGCTCCTATAATCTTTTTCTCATCTCTCCAATTTCCGTTAAAATGGGACCTGCCCGGACGTAATCTAGTCTGGAACCTTTTTTAGGTCTTTGAACTACAGGCCATGGGCAGCATTAGTCATTGCAGCTCAGCTATATTAAATGAAAGTTAGAAGTTGCTACATCAAACATACTGTGTAATGTAATTTGTTTTCTGCATTTTGATTATTTCATGTTTTACTAGAAAACAGTAACAAGGAAGCCCAAACTATTCAGTATTGCTTCAAAACATTGCACTAATGCAAATACAGAGGACCTTTGATCACATTATGTATAAAAGTAGATATTTTAATAGCTCTCTATAAATAATTACCTGGATAATATTGTATTTATTTTTGATATATCATATAAGTAATGTGTGAAGAAGGCACATCAATACATATATATATATTAGGTCTGGTTTCAGCCTTTTGGACAAGGACTCACAAAGAGTAGCTATTTTTATTTTTTATATTATCTATTAGTGCAGAATTTTGTGTTATTATTCTACAGATAAATGAAAAGAAAGACCAGTTAGACATTCCAGGTAATCTTACCATCCATGCATTATTCTATAAGAAACACGTTCTTTGCTTTCTTCTTGTTTTAATTTTCTTAAATCATGAAGCTTCCATTTCCTATGTCTCAAAACTGTTTTATAGACTCCTCTCACTTACAGTGTTCCTTGATTTTTAGCCTAAAGCTTTCCTTTATTTAATCCCACAATTCCCAGTTGCAATTCTGCTTAGTAATAACTCCTCTTGGTACAAATAAATCCTCATCATCCCTGACTAACATTTATATTTCTATGAATTATAACATTCCTCATCATTTGTGTGTCAACCTAGCTATCATGTTTGGTTCTTTCAGCCCTATATCCAACAGGCCACTTTACCTTTTAAGTATTTTTCCGCTTTGGGGCCTTTGGACTTTCATCATAAGTGAGTCTTTCAGTCCTTTGATAATTAGCCCAGTTTCCCAAGGAAGTAAAGCTTGTATGATCACACTGTCTACTTGCTAGCCTAGGTGTTTGTGTGGCTGCTGATCCCTCTCCACTCTTTTCTCCTTCAATAGCTTCTTAACTCTTGGCCAGTTTCAGCATCACTGGACAGGAATTCCTGTAAGTTTTGGGAAAACAGGCTGCCAGATGGGCAAGAGACCCATTAGTGTTCCCACTGGCAGACAGGCTATAGTATGAGATCATTTCTTATTAAACATCAGAGAATCCACAGAGGAGATGAATAAGAGAAAGTACTCATTGGAATTTGCATTTTTAAGATACCAGAGAATCCAACCATGAAATCCAAATCCATAGCATTTAGTAATTTTTCTTCTTGCAGAACTTCTTGTTTTTATTATTATTCTTCCTCTTCCAGTTCCTTCAATATTTTCTTTATAGTGCGGAACTAAAATTTAATGGATAATTCTGAGTATGCTAATCCCAATTTACAGAGAAGGGGCTCGAGTCCCTTTGCTCTGTTACTGCCTCACTGTAGACAGCTGGAAATTTCAGCAGCCTTTTGTTGCTGTATCACTATGGAAACTCAGGCCTAATTTGTTTTTCCCTATCATACAGAAGTCTTTTTTAGAGTGATTGCTTCCTTGCTCCTGTTACGTGTGTCTGAGGTTACTGTTGTGCTTCATAGGTAATAGAGCTAAGCTCTGTGCCATGCCAGTGACAGCCCTAATATTTCCAGAATTATTTTTAGAATTTTATTATAAACTTCATTTATTTGACGTTCACTTCCTGATGTTGAAGTACAACCAACAGACTTTTTTTTTAATTTGGAAGTTGGTAAATTAATTTCTTCCTCCTTATGATCTGGGCTTCTACATCAGCCATTTTTTGTTCTCAGTTTTATTTGTACTTTTTTAACAAGGAAAAAAGAATTAAAAAAAAACAACTAATGACGTATATTTATGGGAGGAAATGAGCCATCATGTAAGATACCTGCAAGATGTAAAATTTGGTATTTTGGTCTCCTTACATAGTTTCTGACTTGGTACTCAGTTGGCCTGAAAAGATGTGAGCTATGATTCTTTTTTGTTTCTTGTTTGGTGAATTCAATTAATGCCAATATTGGAAAAGAAATAAAGAAACTGATACACTATATATAAAGAAAATACATAGACTTTTATGATTTACACATATACATGAAAGGGAGAGTGAAGGAAATAGGATTTGCTGTGGAACACATGGTCTCATGGGCAAAGCCTCCAATTTCTCTAATTATATACGTGTCACAGGCTGCTCTCCATTCCTGATAATGCTTTTTACTGGGCAGGGGCTGCTTCCTATTCACTTCAGCCATGGCCCTTCAAACACCATCAAATTTTGCTAAATTTCTTCTCTGCGCAGTCGGAAATTGGATGAACAAATTTCATCTCCCAATTGCCTTTCAAGTATTTTAAATACACAGTGCTTCAGGTGCAAGATTACCTCTGAGCTAGAATGGCTTTAATGCTATTACTAGCAACAGTGATTCATTTGAGCTTTTTGAGAAATAAAAGAGATGTGTGTACGTGTGATAAATTATAAAAAATATTCTGGTATACTGATATTGGAGGATTTTACAGGTGAAAAGAATGATTATTGTTTTTGAGGGCCATAGCCAGAAATTCTTCTCAAATGCTTGACTCTCACTGTTCCAGACACTGTAACTACACTGGAAAAAGATGATCTTTGTCCTAGAAAATTTTCTTTTGAGCAATTTGAGAAGAGATAAGAGTTAAATACAAGAAAGCAATGAAAGGATTAAAAATATTTGACGATTTTTGATTTAACACACAGCAGCCATATTATACCACTAACTAATGCACATCTAGGCCTCATGACAAATTCTGTGTGTGTGTGTACCCTGAGGAGCTCTGCTGTCGGATGAATCATGTTGAGAAATGGTATTTTCACTGAGATTAAAAAAAGAATTTCCAACAGAAGGGGTTTCCTAATAGTGCCAAATTTTGTTCTGTAAGTGTTGATAAACACATTTGGAGTTCTTCATCACAAAGGTACTGACAAAATATACCAAGAAGGATAGAGGAGAAGAATGGATATTTGGCAGCTAGGACTTGATCATTACTTACAGTTAATAAATCAATCCAGATTGAGGTTAAAATCAAAGAACCAAATGTTATTTACTTCAAAGGCATTTTCTCTGTTACTTCAGTTGCTGTTGGACTGAAACTTGAATTTTGACTCATGAATTTTTTGAGGTTTTTTATGTGTGAGTATGGACCAGGAAAAAGGATAGCCTGCTCTTCAGAATTTTAAACAGGATGCCGAGGTAAGACAGAGATTATCATAGCTGGACATTATTACGAATGCATGGAACTGTCATTGTAGAATTTTATATTTTTTTGTCCTACACTGTTTTGTAAAATATAAAAGGCTGTAAGATCTCTGTTGTCTTTAATTGATTAAATATTCAGGACATGTTTGTTATTGACAGTGGATTTTATAATATGTTCAGGCCTTTTTTTACTGTCCTAAAACAACTCAATGATCCTTGGCAGACAACTGCTTCTTTATGATGCTACAGCTGTGATTGTTTAAAGATATGAGTGATACGTGTATAGGGAGAGACAACGTCTCTCTTTATACCAACTGACACATTTTGGAGGAGCAGGGAGGAAAAAAAGAAAAACAGGCATAATTTGAGGTACTCAACCTTTTTTTCTGACCTAAGAACTCATTCTGTGCAGTTAATTCCTGCAGAAGCTGTATCCAAAGTAAGATGGAGTGAATATGACATCAAAAGCAGGCTAAAGTTGGAAACAGGCTACCTTTTTACTTTCTTCTTCTTAAGCAGACATGCTTTGCTCTACTGTCATTTGGGGATTTAAGTTACTGGTATCAAGATGCTTTATAACATGTTATACTCTTTCCAGCTTCTCATTTGAGAAGACAGATATTTT